AAGATTAGACAGGCCCATAAAACAAAACAAAACAAAACTAAAGGGGCACACCAGCCCAGGGGCAAGGACTAGAAGGCAGGAGGGGACAGGAAAGCTGATAATAGGGAACCCAAGGTCGAGAAGGGAGAGTGTTGACATATCGTGGGGTTTTTAACCGATGTCATAAAACAATATATGTACTAACTATTTAATGAGAAACTAGCTTGTTCTGTAAACCTTCATCTAAAGCACAATAAAAAAAGAAAGAAAAGTTATAAATTAAAAAATAATAATAATAACAAAGTGATTCAGCTTTTTCTAAAAATATAAGAGAAATTGAGCTTTAAAAAATAAGCATATGAGGGTATTGTTACCATAGCAAACTCTTTTCCTAGCAGTAGGAAGGTCATGGGCCTTCCACAAGTAAGAGAAAGATTGAGTAAACCATTCAAGACTGAAAAATCAGAAGGAAACCACTGGTAGGTAAATTTCCTGAAGAGGGAGAAAGATTTCAGATTCCAAGGACAGCAAGACAGGGAACAAATGAAGTCCTCACTAAAATAATTAAATTAAGGCCTTTCAAAGTCCAAAGTAGAAAGGAACCAGAGGGGGGAAAACACCTCTTTCATTCTAATTCATAACGTTGCATAAAACTCTCCAAAATTAATATATTCTGACAGCTTTCTAAGTTAAGAAGGTTTAGTTGAGATGATTAATAACAGTTGAGATTTAGTATGAAAAAAGTATACCTTCTCTATGTGGACTTCTTTGATTTCAAGTTGCTCTGTCTCTTTCAATAGGTTTATTTTGGCTTCTTCTAATGCTTTTATTTCTTCTTTTAGTTTTGATGCCTGATTAAAATCCTGGATAGCAATGCATTTTTCCAAAGCTTCTTTTGCCTCAATAAGTTTAACTTTTATTCCAGCCATCTAAAGAAAGATATAAACTTTGTTTAAATACCAAAGAAAAACAATTAATATGAAAATCTATAACAATCTAAGAAATATTATTTAATATCCCAAAACTCAGAATTTAAGGAGAAGCAGACATATATAAAGTTGTAATCTTCCTGAAACAAATAGGCAAATCTTTCAGACTGACTTAATCTGGTAACATTTTAGATACTCTTATAGTTTAATATTTAATCAATAATTTGACTTTGTGTGAACAATTTCCAAAGTATATAGCAAGAGGAAATGATAGACTTACAAAACTACACTACACTCAGGCTTTTATGCAATTTAGAAGGAATTTACCTTGAGTTCTTTCTTTCTTGCATCAGCTAAATCATCATTAACACCAACAGTAACAATGGGTGCCCGAATCTCTGAGATAATTTCTGTAACCTGATATCAATAAGGGAGGTTATAATTCAAAGTACATGCTTTTAATTCATGTTCTATATCAGCAAGTGATATCAAATTGCTACATTTAAAACAAGTAATTCTAGAATGTATTGACAAATAAGGAGCCTGGGTGGCACAAGCGGTTCGCAATCCACTGCTAATCTAAAAGTGGCTGGTTCAAACCTACCCAGCAGCTCTGCAAAACAAAGGCCTGGCAAACTGCTTCTGTAAAGATTACAGCCAAGAAAACCCTATGGAACAATTCTACTCTGTAACACATGGGGTCGTCATGAGTCGGGGCCAACTCTATGGCAGCTAACAACACTAAAATAAAGACCAAAATATACACACAGATATTGAAAATAGTGTTTGGAACACAGAAAAAATAAATTATGGTGCCTGAGATTAGACATTATGAACTAAAATTCTCTGCCTAAAATCTTCAACTACCTACCTGTTCGGCTCCACGTGAGTTAAACATAGAAAAACAGAAGATTCTTTATATCTTTTATCCTTATAATAACATAAGGAAAGACTTTCCTTTCAGAGCCACTGGAACATCAGAACTGGTAATTCAGGAAAAGACTGTTTCCTAGGTGGGAGCACTTAAGCAAAGACTAGATAAGCACTTATTGAAAGTGTTGCTGAAGGGACTTAAAACATTTAAGTATGTACCTATAAGGAGGGACTGGACAAGATGATCTCTAAATTAACCTGCGAGTCTGAGAGTATACGATTTTATAAAAAGCAATGATATAGGTCTGTCTTTTTTGGGTGCCCCAGAGAAAACAACACTTTTGAAAACAGTAATATTATAATAGGTAACATTTATTTGTATACCTACCAAGCACCTCAGGATTCTATCTCATTGCACAAAGAAAGGTAGGTTTCATTGTTATTTTTATTTTGCAAGCAAGTAAAAAGGCTAAATAACTTGCTCAAAGTCACAATGTGCCAGAGGAGACTTGAACCCAGGAATGCGTGACTTGAGTCGGCTCTCACTCAAATACTCTAGTGCCCAATTTGTCATAGGCAAACCTCATCCCTCTTGTCACCTCTTCCCAAATCTGCTCCATTTCAAATGGATTCAACACAATAATAGGTATTCTAAGAAGAGAACATTATTTAAAAAATTATATATACATATACACATATACATATACATGTATATATATTAATGATTTGTTCTGAAGAAGTTTATGAACTTGTTGCGGAAACAAAACTAAAAGCAAGTAAAAATAAATAAAGCAAACTGTTCTAAACAGAGTATAAGACAGTCCTCGATATCATTGACCAAAACCTCTTATTTTTAATCAACAATGAAGAAAATGACTTACAATTTCTGTCCTTTTATTATCATCTGTAATGATATGGAGTAGTCTCTCAACAAGAAAACAAATTAGGGAAATTGGAGTTGTGGGTAGAGTAAGAATCTCCTGTAAGATAGCCAGCAGTCGTTTTCTACACAGAAAAAGAACTATTTTAATTTAGTATCATTATGAAATTGGAAACACATTTGCTGTCTTAATATTTCACCCACTCTGCAAACTTAATTACATTTGTCTCAGTTTTTTCATTCATGTTTACCACTATAGGTATACAATTTTTGACTTTAGGTCAAATATTCATACTCTGAGGACAGATAACTTTCATAAATGACACTAAGTTATTTCATAGATCAACAGGATGAAATGACAAAATACCAGAAGAGAATCAAACCTTTCAGATAATAATTTTAGACCTCTCTGGAATAATAAATACAAACAGAAATTTTTAACCAAAAAGCTGCTGTTTTATTGATTTGTTCTGAAGAAATCAAATAAGGAGTTCATGTATGTATATTGAAAAGGAAAGAGAAAACTTTTTATGGCACTTGCAATAGCTAGGCTATATATATTTGATCATATTGTAATAGGACTACATTTTCGTATAGGAAATCAGAACAATCTAGAACAAGTGTTAACATTTAGACATACCTTCCTCCTTCCTCACTGGTATCCAAAGACTTGATAATTAGAATTAATTGTTGACCTATGAACTCTTTTGTCATCAAATTTCCAATATAGGCAAAATCACCTCTCTGTTCATCATTAACAACTGGAATGCTCTGAATATAACTAAAGAAAGCAAAATTAGTAAAATGAAGAATCTGCTTAAAAACATCAAACAGGAGTTGATTCCCAAGATTAGGACAGAAAAGAGTCTTTTTCAGTTCATATTAGCCCAAATATGGACATTTATAGATGCTATCGACTTTTGTAAACAAACTGGAATCAAATGAATCTGAAAAATGTACTTTCATTAAATCTGAAAAATGTACTTTCATTAAAGATTTAATAAGAAATCTTCAAAAGGTACAGATTTTTCCTGCTCAAATTGGTAACTAAGTATATTTCAATGTCACTAGCATTCTCCCAATTATAAAGTTCTGAAATCCAATTAGTCATGAAAATCTTGTCTTCCCTCATCATGCCTTATCAACTCAACATTTTGTGTTTAATATAATAGTAACAATACTAATTGGTGAATACAAAGACCTTTTTTAAAAAATTAGAAAAATATACATAGCTCCACGGAGTTGTACTGCCCTTGCACAGGGGCCCTACTTATCACTCCTACTTCCTTTTAGTGTTCGTGCTCCTAAGCAAGCCACCATCCATTACCCTGGCATTCCCAGCCTTTACCAACCCTCACCTACATTGTACCCAATAGCCGACCAGAAAGGCCTCCCTCTTGTGCGTGGAACAAAAAAGCTACTTAAAAAAAGAATTATTAGACAACCAAGTGCCTTTAGATTGTAAATAAAATGGAAAACAAGCTTGGTGATAATATGCCATTTAAAAAATATCAACAAAAACTCAAGATATATAAACTGTAGAATAATGTATCATGAGTAAATTGACTCAACTATTATAAAATGATAGCCAAGAATAAATTAAGATTCCTGCAGCTCTGGCCAAGAGATTAGGAACTTCAAGGCATCACCACCCTTTGGGCTCTAAAACCTACTTCCATGAAGTTGATCCCGACTCAAAGCAACCCTACAGAACAGAGTAGAAGCACCCCATAGGGTTTCCAAGGCTGTAAATCTTTACGGAAGTTGACTGCCACATCTTTCCCCCTTGGAACGACTGGTGGGTACTTAAGAACAACTACATGGCATTCATTGTCAAAAAGAACACTTCAAGATCTATCCTGAACTACAACACTGTCAGTGATAGGATAATATCCATACACCTGCAAGGATGACCAGTTAATACAACTATTATTCAAATTTACGCACCAACCACTAAGGCCAAAGATGAAGAAGTTGAAGATTTTTACTAACTTCTGCAGGCTGAAAGTGACTGAATATGCAATCAGGATGCATTGATAATTAGTGGTGATTGGAATGCGAAAGTTGGAAACGAAGAAGGATTGGTAGTTGGAAAATATGGCCTTGGTGATAGGTAGCATATGATCAGGAACCAATGGTACTGAAGAAAGAGGGCCAAACTGCACTGAAGGCATTGGCAAAAAACAAGGCTCTAGGAGTTGACAGACTACCAACTGAGATGTTTCAACAAATGGATGCAGCGCTAGAAGTGTTCACTCGTTTATGTCAAGAAATTTAGAAGACAGCTACCGTTGGCCAGGTCGCTGTCTTTCAAATTTCTTGGTATAGACGAGTGAGCACTTCTGGGGTTACATCCATTTGTTGAAACATCTCAATTGGTATTCCAGGAACCTTGTTTTTTGCCAATGCCTTCAGTGCAGCTTGGAGTTCTTCCTTCAGTGCTATCAGTTCTTGATCATATGCTACCTCCTGAAAAGGTTGAACATCAGCCAATTCTTTTTGGTACAATGACTCTATGTATTCCTTTCATCTGTTTTTATGCTACATTGTTCAATATTTTGCCCAAAGAATCCTTCAATATTTCAATTCGAGGCTTGAGCTTTTTCTTCATTTCTTTCACCTTGAGAAATTCCAATCGTGTTCTTCCAAGTCTTTGCATAATTAATTATAATATTTTACTTTGTCTTCTTGAGCAGCACTTTGTGATCTTCTTTTCATCTCTTTTACTTCATGATTTCTTCCTTTTGCTTTAGCTACTCTACATTCAAGAGCAAGTTTCAGACATCCATTTTGGTCTTTTTGCTTTCTTCATGTATGATGTCCTTGATGTTATCCCACAACTCCTCTGGTCTTCAGTCATCAAAGTTCAGTGTGTCAAATCTATTCTTGAGATGGTCTCTAATTTCAGGTGGGATATACTCAAAGTCATATTTTGGCTCTCGTGGACTTGTTTTAATTTTCTTCAGCTTCAGCTTACACTTGCATATGAGCAATTGATGGTCTGTTCCATAATTAGCCCCTGGCCTTGTTCTGACTGATGATATTGAGCTTCTTTGCCGTCTCTTTCCACAGACATAATAGATTTGATTCCTGTGTATTCCATCTGGCAAGGTCCACATGTATAGCCACTATTTATGATGTTGAAAAAAGATATTTCCTATGAATAGGTGGTTGATCTTACAAAATTCTATCATGTGATCTCTGGTGTGGTTTCTATCACCAAAGCCTTATTTTCCGACAACAGACCCTTCTTCAATGTTTTCAACTTTCCCATTCCAATCACCAATAATTATCAATGCATCTTGATGGCATGTTTGATTCATTTCAGGCTGCAGAAGTTGGTAAGACTCTTCAATTTCTTCACCTTTGGCCTTCGTGGTTGGTGCATAAATTTGAATAATGTCACATTAACTGGTCTTCCTTTTAGGTGTATGGATAGTATCCTATTACTGACTGCACAGTACTTCATGATAGATCTTGAAATGTTCTTTCTGACAATGAATGTGATGCTGTTCCTCTTCAATTTGTCATTCCTGGCATAGTAGACCATACGATTGTCTGTTTCAAAGTTGCCAATACCAGTCCATTGCAGCTCATTAATCCCTAGGCTATCTACCTTCAAGATTTCTAGTTCATTTTTCACAACTTCATACTTCATACATTCCAAGTTCAGATTATTAATGGATATTTGCAGCTTTTCTTCTCATTTTGAGTCATGCCACATCATCAAATGAAGGTCCCAAAAGCTTTACTCCATCCACGTCATTAAGGTCAACTCTGCTTTGAGAAGCAGCTCTTCCTCAGTCATATTTTGAGTGCCTTCCAACTCGAGAGGCTCATTTTCTGGCACTATATCAAAAAATGTTCTGTTACTATTCATAAGGTTTTCACTAGCCAATTTTTTTGGAAGCAGATCGCCAGGTCTTTCTTCCTAGTCTGTCTTAGTCTAGAATCTCAGCTGAAACCTTTCCACCATGGATGACCTTGCTGGTATTTGAAATACCAGTGGCATAGCTTCCAGCATCACAGCAACACGCAAGCCACCACAGTACAACAAATCGACAGACTAGTGGCAGTATCTAGTAACGCTGCACCAAAAATGAAAAGTATTCTATTCCTTAAGTATTCTTTCAACCATTACAATTATAAATTAAGAAAATAAATTGATTATATTAAATTTATTTCAAAGCTCAAACATTACATGACAAAGGCAATTAAAGAGAATTCCTCGCCACTTAGAGCTGGAGGAGCCAAACTCTGAACATGTTACTTTCCTGAAAGAAGAATTAATCATTCTGTAAACCAGTCCTTGAGAGCAGGCTCCCATATTATGCCATTTAAATACTTAACATTTCCTCATATTTTCGGTTTTCTCTAAGCATTTATTACCTTTATACTAATACATATTATTAAGAATTACACAAAACTCATTTTTCTTAGAAGCATTTCAACACAGCCTAAACGGCATTATAATGAATATTCTAATTAAATGTCAAAGTCTGAAATAATAGCCATTAAAATTCTTACTAGATTCACACGTTTTTCATGATGTTACTATGGGCTCAAGCTATACATTTCCATATTGTCTCATATTTTCAATATTTATCCTGGAATCGGGATTTTGCATGAAACGTTCATATGCATTTATAACTTTGCTCCTTAGCTTATATACGGGACCACTGTAAGCTAAAGTAGCATACTATATTTCATACAAAAAGAATTCAAGCACATAATTTGTATCATATGAAACAAGCTTTTTAGAAAATGCATCAAAAGCATAAAGTTAAAAAACTGTACCCTAATACCTATCAAAATATATACATGTATATATATAACCTTTAGCCCAGAAATTCCACTTCTGGGGATATACTCCACGAAATCACAAATATACATTAAAAAATGTATAATGGGAGGCAGGGACAAGATGGTGGTGTAGTCAGATGCTTTCTGTGGTACCTCTTACAACAAAGACCTGAAAAAACAAGTGAATCGATTGTACGTGACAATCTAACAGTGCTGAACATCAAAGGCAAAGTTGAGGAATCGGACTCAGTGGCAGAGGGAGGGAGAGACAGTTCAGAAGCAGCAAGGAGTTGCCAGACCTGACTCGGCAAGAGCCTGAGCCCTTCAGGCCAGATAAACTCCTGTGCGTGGTGAGGCAAGCAGTGACGCTGGAAGGCTTTTTCCATATCAGGAGAGACCCAGCGGCAGAGTTTACTCGGCCATCTAGAACCAGTGAAACGCAGCACTCAAGTGGCTAAAGATAAGTACTTGCATCTGGCCTACCGTTGGGAATGAAAAAAAACAACACATCCCATTTGGGAGAAACCTCTCTCCCATTTACTTCCCCTTTCCCCACTCTGCACTGAGTCCCGGGATGGCTTCAGCGATTGCCCCAAGTCCCCTAGGTTGGAGGTAGAACCCATCACGTACCCTGAGCCATTCTCTCGGCCTTAGAGAGGGAACATATTAACAAACAGGGGAAAAATAAGCTGCTGGCTCCCCTAAGCCATGAACTCAGGGTTGGCACAGCTCCTTTGCCTAGGCACAGGCATAAGGGGTCCACAGGCTTTGAATACCTTTCACCCCTGCATAGACTTCTGTGTGCAAATTTCAAAAGCGTAGGCCCTCATCGCCACAGCAAAACAGGGTATATACCTGAAGTTCAACTTCAACTGTTTCAGCTGTGAAGTGTCAGGTTTGTGACATTTGACACTGCTCTGCCCCTTAAGCAGGTTCCTCACCTGTCCACATCAGGGGCCTGAGGACTGGTTGTTCCAC